AATTGTTATTTTGGGAGTTATTATTCTGAAATAACTTTCAAAGTAAGAAGCAAAGGGCTTAAACTGCAGGAAGGGAGGTTTAGGTTGGACATTAGGAAAACGTTCCTGCCTGTCAGGGTGGTGAAACACTGGAATAAATTGCCCAGGGAGGTTGTGGAATCTCCATCACTGGAGATATTTAAGAGCAGGGTGGAGAGACACCTGTCAGGGATGGTCTAGATGATACTAGGTCCACCGTGAGGACAGGGGACTGGACTTGATGACCTCTCAATGTCCCTTCCAGTGCTAGTGTTCTATGATTCTATGAAATACCCTTGTACTGTAGACATACCCCAGGGTTCTGTCTGTCATCCTGCTACTCAATCTATGTCTGACCCAGACCAATTCATGTCTCCCCATGCCTCCATCTCTAGCGGTGTTTAAGTCTCGGCTTGACAAAGCCCTGGCTGGGTTGATTTAGTTGGGATTGGTCCTGCCTACAGCAGGGAGCTGGACTTGATGACCTTCATGGGATAACCTAATCTTGGGGTATGTCTAGACTACCCCCCTAGTTCGAATTAGCGGGGGTAATGTAGTCATCTGCACTTGCAAATGAAGCCCGGGATTTGAATTTCCCAGGCTTCATTTGCATGAAGCCGGACGGCGCAATTTTTAAATGCCGGCTAGTTCGGACTCCGTGCCGCGCGGCTACACGTTGCACGGACTACCTAGTTCGGATTAGGCTTCTAATCCAAACTAGCTGTATGCCTCATGGAACGAGGTGTACAGCTAGTTCGGATTAGGAAGCCTAATCCGAACTAGCTAGTCCGTGCCACGAGTAGCTGCGTGGTACGGAGTCCGAACTAGCCGGCATTTAAAAATGGCGCTGGCCGGCTTCATGCAAATGAAGCCCGGGAAATTCAAATCCCGGGCTTCATTTGCAAGTGCGGATGACTACATTACCCCCGCTAGTTCGAACTAGCGGGGTAGTGTAGACATACCCTTGGCGACTAATTGACCTTTCACGATCAGTGGTAAATAGGCCAATGGTGGGATGATAGGAGTTACTATAGAGAACTTTTTCCTGAGTGTCTGGCTGGTGAGTCTTGCCCACATGCTCAGGCTTCAGCTGATCCCCATGTTTGGGGTCGGGAAGGAATTTTCCTCCAAGATAGATTGGTAGAGGCCCTAGAGGTTTTTTGCCATCCCCTGTAGCATGGGGCACGGATGACTTGCTGGATGATTCTCTGCGTCTTGGGGTCCTTAAACCATTTGAGGGCTTCAGTATCTGAGATCTAGGTGAAAGGATTATTCTAGGAGAGGGTGGGTGAGATTCTGTGGCCTGTATTGTGCAGGGGGTCAGACTAGAGGACTATAATGATCCCTTCTGATCTTAAAGTATATGGGTGTGTCTAGACTACAGGGCTTTGTCGACAAAAGTGGACTTTTGTCGACAAAACTATACCTGTGTCCACACTGCCTTTGAGTTATGTCGACATAATGTCGACAAAACTCAGCAGTTTTGTCAACGTATGTAAAACTCATTCTACGAGGAATAACGCCTTTTGTCGACAGAGTTCTGTCAATAGAAGGCATTATTGCATCTACACTGTTCTTTGCGTCCACACTGTTATGTCGACAAAGTGGCTTGCTTTGTCGACAGAACTGGATGTAGTCTAGATGCTCTTTGTCAACAGAAGCTTTGTCGACAAAACTTCTGTCGACAAAACCCTGTAGTCTAGACGTACCCTATGAGTCTATGAGTTTACATCTCTGGATAATGGGGACATGTTTACAGGGTTTTTCTTTTGTCACCTCTCTTCTGAAGTTCCTTCATGGAAAGATGTTGCCCAGTATGGTGATAGATAATAATGGGATTTATTGATCTCTGATCCCTTAGCAGCAGCCCTGAGTGTCTGCAGCAAGTTTTCAGTAATGATTCTCCAGATCTGGCTGTCTACCATCTACCTAGCCATCTGGGGTATTTACAAATATCAGACCCAAGAGACACCGAAGCATTATCCCTAGTTTTCTTACTAATCAACTATGGTTATTACCTAGACACTAATACACAGAGCAGCCAATTCTGCTCTGACTCAGCCCGGAGACCAAGAGGTCCCATCTCCCTGTGGGAAGGCCCCTTAATTACTGTTTGTGTCTAATGGTGGATAAATAGCCTACAAACACAAGAGGCTGGTCTCCATCCTCTTCACATCCACATGCTAATTCTTCCCTTGAGGCTTAATGAACCCCACAAGTATTGCCCAGGATATTTAATAACTGGTGCACCCAAAGCTTCCCTTTGTCGGACCTCAGCGTCGGAGGCTGCTGCAGACGCTGGGCTGAGAGAGGTACGGGATGCGGCTGCCTGAGGGGGATTCCCAGGGAAGACACGTCCCTCTCAGAATTCACAGATACCCTCTCCTGCTGAGGAGCTCCCCTGCTCCACAAACCCAGGGCAATGTGGGTGTGATGGGAGAGACCGTAAGTGTGTGACCTTTTCCACTCTGCACGGCCATGGAACATCCCAGGGTCCTTGCCACAGGGAATGTGTTTGATCTAGTAGTGCAAGGCAGTAGCAAAATATCCCCCTTTTCTGTGCTCTGCTGTTGCTTGATTGCACTCTACTAAATCTAAATGAAATATGAGGTTCATTGCTCGCTTCTTAACTCTGGGGTTGGTAACTTTAAGAGTGTGTCTAGACTGCAGTGTTTTTTCGAAAAAACTTCCCCTGTGTCTAGACTGCTGCCGTGTTTTTTTCTAAATTAAATCAAAAGAACACGGCATTTTTTATGATCGCAGAAAACTTCGTTTTATGGGGAAGAACGCCTTTTTTTGAAAGTGCTCCTTCGAAAAAAGGCGTTCTTGAATGCAAACAGGGCTTTTCAAAAGAGAGCTCAAGACCTCCTGGGTGGTCTCTTTCGAAAAAATTGGCTCGCTTTTTCGAAAGAAGTGGTTGCAGTCTAGACGCTCTCTTTCAAAAGAGGCTTTTTTGAAAGGTTCTTTCGAAAAAGACTCTTTCGAAAAGGCTTGTAGTCTAGACATAGCCTAAGGATTCAACTGTAGATTTTGTTTAATATCCTCCATGACAAGTAGTGGACTTGAAAGTGTTCCATCAATTCATGTCATAAGAATACCTTGTGCTGCTTCTTTCCAATTGTAGAACAAAACTATTTCTTGAACACATCTACTTTTTCTGCCACATTAATGAGTTTCTTTCCTCCCTCTAGGAACTGGCCTAACTATATTTAATAATCATTTTTTCCCTGATGTCTTAAATGCTCCTTATTAACATTTACAACTTTCTAAATGTATTCCTTGCTATCTATTTTCCCTTTTTTTCTCATTATTTTATATAATCTTCCTCTCTAATTAATGCCTTCAATTTCCTACTCAACTGGGTTTTTAACCAAAGTGGTTCACCTTCACCCACTGTGGGACTATTAACTATCAAATAAATTCTTCTTTAAAAAAGGCCAAAATCTAATTCTCATTTTTACATCTATATTTTTCCTTCTCATCGGTTGTACTAATCATTTTCCTCAGCTTTGGGGAATTACACAAGTTGAAACACGTAGTCCGTGTCTACACTATAAGGAAGATTGACGCTGCCATAATCAATCTTCTGGGGTTCGATTTAGCAGATCTAGTGAAGACATGCTAAATCGATCTCAAAGGGCACCAAAGTTGGTGCCAAAATTCCTGTTCCTCAAAAGGAGAAAGGAAAGCCAATGGGAGCACTTGTTCCTACTGACCTCCCGCTGTGTGAATGGTGATTTAAGATACATTGACTCCAGGTACGCAATTAATGTAGCTGGAGTAGTGTATCTTTGGTCAGCCTTCCACTCTGGTGTAGAGCAGCCCTAAGTGTCTCTAACTACTACTTCTTGAGCTCTCTTCTTTGTTTTCCATTGGAATTTTAATATGTTCCATTCTTTATTTTCCTCTCTTCTGTCATATGCTCCCTTATTTGTCTCTTCCCTAAAATAACAGTCTGCCCTTTTCTGGCAGCTCGCTCTCATACCATGTTTGTTTTGGCCACTGCTGTGGTAAGTAGGTACTCCCATGGAGTTGCTAGCAGTGATTTCGAGGCATTGTCCCTGAGATTTGTTCTACTTGAGATATTTATGTTCAGATAAATGTTTGTTTGTTTGTTTTCTTCTCAGAGCTTGAGGCGCCAGGTGAATGGGGAATTCCCTGCAGAACAGGCTCCTAGGCCTGGCTTTCACTGCATGAAGAACCACTGAGGAATGGCCAGGACCAACACTCATGTTTCCCGCTGATACCTTCTCAGGCTGTCTCTAGACTGGCCAGTTTTTCCGGAAAATCAGCCGCTTTTCCGGAATAACTTGCCAGCTGTCTACACTGGCTGCTTGAATTTCCGCAAAAGCACTGACTTCCTACTGTCTGAAATCAGTGCTTCTTGCAGAAATACTATTCTGCTCCCAGTCAGGCAAAAGTCCCTTTTGCGCAAAGCTTTTGCGCAAAAGGGCCAGTGTAGACAGCTCAGATTTGTTTTCTGCAAAAAAGCCCGGATCGTGAAAATGGCGATCGGGGTTCTTTTGCGGAAAAGCGCGTCTAGATTGGCCACGGATGCTCCGTGCCAATCTAGACACTCTTTTCCGCAAATGCTTTTAACTAGATGCTCTTTTCCGGAAAACTTTTCCGTTAAAAGCATTTGCGGAAAATCATGCCAGTCTAGACGTAGCCTCAGAGTTTTCAGATGTAGCCCCATTATAGGAGGGATTGGCATTAGCAGCATCACATGCTCAGCAATCATTTCTCTCAACAGTGAAAATGCCATTTTTCAGGCTGTGAAGAGCAAACAATTTCCTTTACCCAAGAGAACAGCTTCCACAAGTGCTCCCAGTGTCTGAAATGTACATGGTCTCTCCATCTAGGCATTTGCACTGCGACCATTGCTCTAGACCCTTGGCAAAAAAAGAAAGTCAGAGGAACTTACAGGAGACATCATAGAATCATCGTTCTGCCACGGAGTTGGACAGTGTCTCTCCTACTCCATGTTAGATTTCAACACAACCGACATCACCAGCCCCTCCACCTTCATCCTGCTGGGCATCCCTGGCCTGGAGGCCTCGCATGGCTGGATCTCCATCCCATTCTCTGTCATGTACATCATAGCCCTCTTGGGGAATTTCACCATCCTGTTCGTTGTGAAGACAGAGCCGAGCCTCCATGGACCCATGTACTATTTCCTCTGCATGCTGGCTTTCAGTGACCTGGTCCTGTCTACATCCATCCTGCCTAAAATGTTGAGCATTTTCTGGTTCAAATCCAGGGAGATCGATTTTGGTGCCTGCCTCACCCAGATGTACTTCGTTCACTCCTTCTCAGCTATCGAGTCTGGGATCTTCGTGGCCATGGCGTTGGATCGCTACGTGGCCATCTGCCATCCCCTGCGACATTCCACCATCCTGACAAACCCGGTTGTGGCCACGATTGGCCTGGCTGTTGCACTGCGTGGCGTCATGCTCATGCTGCCCTTTCCCTTACTGGTGAGGCAGTGGCCATATTGCAGAACTAACATCATCAGCCATTCATACTGTGAGCACTTCGCCGTGGTGAAGCTGGCCTGCACTGACATCCGTGTCAGTAGTTATTACAGCCTTTCTGTGGCATTTTCTGTCACTGGTCTGGACGTGTTTTTCATTGCTGTGTCCTATACCCAGATCCTCAGGGACATCTTCAGACTCCCCACAAAAGATGCCCAGCTCAAGACTTTTGGGACCTGCAGCTCCCACCTGTGTGTCATCTTAACCTTCTACATTCCAGGTCTTTTCTCCTTCCTCACACACCGGGTTGGCCACAATGTACCCCCACAGTTCCACATAATCTTTGCCAGTGTGTACCTCCTGGTTCCCCCCATGCTACACCCCATCATCTATGGGGTGAGGACCAGACAAATCCAGGAGAGGCTGCTATGGATCGTTACTCATAGAAGAATGTAACGTTTTCCCCTGGTGCTCTAACTTTTTGACTAAGTGCATGAGAAATCTGGGAATCAGTCCATGTAGAACTCATTGGGTGGAGCATATGACCTATGAGGAGCGGCTGAGGGAGTTGGGCCTGTTTAGTCTGCAGAAGTGAAGAGTGAGGGGGGATTTGATAGCAGCCTTCAACTTCCTGAAGGGAGGTTCCAAAGAGGATGGAGAGAGGCTGTTCTCAGTAGTGAGGGATGGCAGAACAAGGAGCAATGGTCTCAAGTTGTGGTGGGAAAGGTCCAGGTTGGATAGTAGGAAAAAACTATTTCACTAGGAGAGTGGTGAAGCACTGGAATGGGTTACCTAGGGAAGTAGTGGAGTCTCCATTCCTAGAGGTGTTTAAGTTTCGGCTTGACAAAGCCCTGGCTGGGTTGATTTAGTTGGGATTGGTCCTGCCTAGAGCAGGGGGCTGGACTTGACCTTCTGAGGTCTCTTCCAGCTCTATGATTCTATGATTGGGTTGCCCCCTTCCTAATTCCTTGTACCTGGACCCTGAGTCCACGCCCCTTGCCCCACCTCTTCTGCCACAGTTCTTCACACACACACAGAATGGGAAGCGACTGTCAAGGAAGGAGTCCTGCAGCAAAGGATCTAGGGATCACAGTGGACCACAAGCTAAATATAGCTATGTCTACACTGCAGGCTTCTTTCGGAAGAAGCCTTTTTCAGAAGAGATCTTACAAAAAAATTCTTCTGAAAGAGAGCATCCACACACAAAAGCATATCGACAGGCTTTTTCGAAAGAGAAGGTCCAGACTGATTGGATGGTCTCTTGCATAACAGGCCACCCAGAACCACTTCAGCCAGGGCTTTCCGTCACCAGTTGCTTCGAGTGCTGGTGCCGGAGCCTTGCAGAAACACTCACTTAAAGCCTCCTTCTCCCTCCCCCTCCCCGCTGCCCGGACAGCCATTTCTCTGCTTCTGCTGCATGCTTGCCCACCTCTCCGAGGCTCAATAAAGCTCTCTCAGTGCCTGCTGTGGTAATCCTGTTTTTTTGGACACCACACAGCCATGCTGCAGTTTTTGGAGCACATTGTGCCAGCTGCCTTCCTTGTCCTGCACAAGCTTGACCCCGAGTTCATTCTGAGGACCCTCTCCCTGGGTGAGGAAGCTACTCTCTGGTGACCACACCCTACTGTGGATAGTTGTTTCTGGAGCCTGAGAACCAGTTCAGAGAGGTGGGGCCATCTGGTTGTGGAGCGGTGGGACGACCAGCAGTAGCTCCAAAACTTGCCCGTGCAGAAGGCCACCTTTTTGGAGCTGTGTTCCTGGCTCGCCCCTGCCCTCCAGAGACGCAACACCCACCTGCAGCCCACCGGCCCTCTGGAGAAGCTGGTCGCCATCACCAACTGGGAGTTTCACCACCCCCAACAGCTGCCGGTCAGTGGGCAACCAGTTTGGTGTGGGGAGGTAAGGTACTCTCAGGCTGCAGTCCCTGAGGGGGTGTGTGGAAAAAGGGAGGTTGGGGGCAAGGCCCCATCCCTAGGGGGTTGTGCCATCCTGCCCTCACACAGCATTGCTGCTGGGGGGTGGCCCCATAGGGGGTGGCTCTTGGGGTGCTTGAGGGAGGGGAGGGCAGGGAAGGAGGGGGAATGGCCCACAGCCTGAGCAGCCCGAGCAGGGGGTGTGTGGAAAAAGGGAGGTTGGGGGCAAGGCCCCATCCCTAGGGGGTTGTGCCATCCTGCCCTCACACAGCATTGCTGCTGGGGGGTGGCCCCATAGGGGGTGGCTCTTGGGGTGCTTGAGGGAGGGGAGGGCAGGGAAGGAGGGGGAATGGCCCACAGCCTGAGCAGCCCGAGCGACACTCGCCCCCTGTGCACCCACCCCCCCTGCCCTGTGTGTGTGACAAAGTGAGACCACTCTCCAAGGAGGCCTGAGAGCTGTCCTAGCTCACAGGCACCGGCTCCGGGGACAGGGTCATGGTCTCTGCCTCCTACTCCAGCTGGCCCTAGTCCTCCTTCTCCTCCACCGTGACCTCCAGCCGGGCGGCGATGGGGGTCTGTCTTGGTAATAGGGGCAGGTGCGGGGATCTGTCCCTGAGTACAAGTTGCGCTCTCTGGCCTAGACATATTCCTGGTGGAGCTCCTTAACCTTACTCTGGACCTGTTGCAAGGTCCGGGGTAGGTGTCTGCACTCCACCAAGTACTCAGCCATGGGCTCCTATATGTCAGAGTTGTGGTGCTTAGCACGGAGATCCTGCAATGTCTCCACCTTGCCCCACAGCTCAAGAAGGGACAGGATCTCAGGTACAGACCAGGGGCTATGTCTAGACTGCAGGCTTCTTTCGAAAGAGGCTCTTTCGAAAGCATCTTTCGAAAGAGCCTCTTTCGAAAGAGAGCATCTAGACTGCACGGAGAAATTTCGAAAAAGTGGCTTGCTTTTTCGAAAGAAAGCATCCAGTGAGTCTGGATGCTCTCTTTCGAAGAAGCCCTATTTACATTGAAGAACGCCTTCTTTCGAAAGAGGAACTTTTGAAAGAAGGCGTTCTTCCTCGTGAAATGAGGTTTACCACCATCGAAAGAAAAGCCGCGTTCTTTCGAATTAATTTCGAAAGAACGCGGCTTGAGTCTGGATGCAGGGGAAGTTTTTTCGAAAAAAGGCTACTTTTTTCGAAAAAACCCCTGAGTCTGGACACAGCCAGGATGTTGCCCACCTCTTGGTCCCCCGGGTGGGTCCTGAGACCCGGGGGCTGCTCCCTGAAAGGGCCAAAATGGTTGTGGGGGGCTTGTGGCTCAGACATAGCTCCAGATGCCTGTGGCATGGTCAGGTTGTTGCTCCAAAGTGGACTTCGTGCCAGGAGGCTTGTCCAGGGTGCCTGCAGCTTCAAGAGGAACCAGGAGAAGGGAACCACAGAGTTGTGATTACTTTGGTCGGAGTGGCCACAAGGGCACCTTTGTTATTTCCTGAAGGTCTCTTCTGTAAGAACGCCCTGTTCCCCGTCCATGCACACCTTTTTCCAAAAGAGCTCTTTTGGAAAAAGTCTTCTTCCTCATAGAAAGAGGAGCATCAGTGTCGGAAAAACCCCTCCGCTCTTTCAATTTACTTTCAGAAGAATGCAATAACAGTGTGAATGTTCCACAAGTTTTGTTGGAGAAATGGACATTTTTCCAACAAACCTGTGTAGTGTGCACATATACAAGTCAACAGTTGCAAAAAAAGGAAAATAAAGCCTTTTCCGAAAGATCCCTTATCCCTTATTTTAAGAGGAATAAGGGATCTTTTGGAAAAGGCTTTATTTTCCGCAAGATCCATGTCTAGACTGGCGCTTTTTTCCGGCAAAGCTCCGAGCCGGAAAAAAGCGGCAGCCATTTTTATGCTAATGAATCGGGGGAGATTTAAATCCCCACTTCATTTGCAATTGCGATATGTCTAATTTGCATCGCTTTTACGGAAAAGGGATGCAGTCTAGAAACAGCCTTGGGGTATTGTGTCCAGTTCTGGGCTCCACATTTCAAGAAAGTTGTGGAGAAATTGGAGAAGAACTAAAAAAAATTAAAGGTCTAGAAAACCTGATGTAAGAGAGAAGACTGAAAGTATTGGGTTTGTTTAGTTTGGAAAATAGAAGACTGAGAGGAACAGGATAGCAGCTTTCAAGTACCTAAAAGGGTGTAATACAGAGGAGGGAGAAAATTTGCTCTCCTTGGCCTCTGATGTTTGAATGAGAAGCAATGGTCTTAAATTGCAGGAAGGGAGGATTAAGTTGGACATGAGGAAACACCAGGTTGGACAGACATCAATCCGGGATGGTGTAGACAGTACTGGGTCTTGCCATGAGAACAGGGGACTGGACTTGATCTCTCGAGGTCCCTTCCAGTTCTAACATCATATTTCTGTGGGTTTTTTGTTGTTTTTTAGATGTAGACCGTGTCCATTCATGAAGAGGTGTGAGGAAAGGTGCCGGGAGGATCTCACCAGGAGGCTCTGTATGAGTCAGAATGGGGGCTGGAAATGGGCACATTTTAGCTTGGCTTGTGCGAGGGTCTCCCTCCTGATGAAAAAAAAGCAGGCACAGGGAGTAGGAGTGAGCTGTGCCCGGAACTCTCCTGTTTTCATCACTCTATGAAGGAGCCACTAACAGATATCTTAGGTGGTCTGTGGGGCCAGAGGGGTGTACAAGCTGGAACACCAGGGCTCCTCACCCTTTGCAGGGGGTAGTAGGCCCTACAGCTTGGTATTGGGGGGAAACGAGAGAGTGCAATTGAAACAGCACAGGGAGTAGGAGTGAGCTGTGCCCGGAACTCTCCTGTTTTCATCACTCTATGAAGGAGCCACTAACAGATATCTTAGGTGGTCTGTGGGGCCAGAGGGGTGTACAAGCTGGAACACCAGGGCTCCTCACCCTTTGCAGGGGGTAGTAGGCCCTACAGCTTGGTATTGGGGGGAAACGAGAGAGTGCAATTGAAACAGGTGGCACACGAGCATGGAGAACTCTCTCAGTGTGGTTTGAAAGTGAACTGACCCCAGGCTCAGCTTCTAGAAGGGAGGGAGAATGGGACCTGATGAAAATGTCCAAAGGGGCAGGGTAGCAGCACCGTCTTGCAGGAGCCATTCAAGGATAACCCGAGAGGTGGGCAATAAGGCTGCCCCCACCCTCCCGCTCCTGAGGTATGCACAAGGGTTTCTGTGGGGTGGATTCCATGCAGCTGGCGGGTATCTCTCATTGACGCTGTGTCTTGTCATGTCTCTTTGACTGACTTCCTCGTTATCGGTAGAGTCCCTCTGTCTGAGCTCTCACGCTAGGCTGATGGAATGTTAAATGGAATTATGTCAGGGTCTCTGTGACCAAACACTCCAGCCGTATTCACGTGTGGGCCCAGATCCTGCGTTCCAGCTATGACTGAATCAAGAATGGTTTCTCCTTTTGGAGGTTCGAACTCACAGCGGCTCCAAGAAGCAGCCATTTCAGGTCTCAAGAAACATTTTTTTCCCTCTGTATCTCACCCTGAGGTGACAGGCTCCCAGTCAAC